GACTTGCCACGGAAACGTGTTAAACTGAACTGAATCGTTAATAGTGAATAATTCACAAACAGCGCACAGTGTTGAGGAATAAAAAGTTAGAAGCGAAACACTTTTCAGAGCAGAGAACTTTGAACAATCTGTGTATAATCGAATGTAATTCCACGAATGTCTGACTTCCCTTGCGCCTTCAAATTCAAATTTGACATGATCGCAGCAAATCTCAGATAGATCAAGATTCTCTCCTCGCATGTCTGAAATATCAAACGGGGGGTCTCGTTTGAGAATTCCAAGTAATATATTTTCTTCTGCGGAACAGAGAGGAGCCGATCTCGAGGAACGTTTCGATTATTTTCCCAAGATACAGAGACCGCGTGCAAACGCTTCTACGCCTATGTTTATAGAGGGTTGTAATTCGAGACTGCTACGAAGGGATAGAGTGGGGTAAAAGTGGCTACCCTAGGTTATACCTGCGAAAATCTATTCAGTCCTCTCGGTACTCGTCTAGCGTTCAGGGAACAACACGTCCCGCAATTCGTCAGCGTAATCCACCAGGGAAGAACGCATTCTCCCCCGGCTCGACTTCATTTTCCGCGCCAAATCAACCCGGCTCGCGATCTCTCGATTTTTCTCTCATCCTCGCCGTGTTCTTTTCTTGTTGCGTTTGTCGCGTCGTCAGATTGGGCATGATGATGTCTGTGTGACGTGAAACACGCATCGATTCTTCGTACAAGTTTGCTGAGTTTCTTGCTCATGCAGGACAAAGACAGTCTCGATGGAGTGTAGAAGAAATTGGATTCACCTAGAAGACATCCAATTTTCACAATCACTATCACGGTGGACTGTGCCTAATGATATCGCCAGCATGAAAATTTAAAAACGAAGATTCGACAGAGGAAGTATGACTGGATCATTTTCAATCCTTTGTGCATGAATGGGAATATTTGAAGAGAAGAAAGGATTCGTAAAATGTATTAAGTAATTAGGCTTGCTATGCAGGATGATGCACAGTATTCAAAGGGAAATCAATATCAATTAATTGTAAACTCAAAAATTTGAAGTTGCATTTTACTTCGAGTAGAAAAAAGATAAAGAACATACACCGTGTGTGTTAAAAAAATTTCGTACTTACTGCAGGTTTCAAGTCCTCGCACCTAAAAGATGATAATATATCTAATAAATAATTTTACGATCTCGTTATATATATATATATATATGTGTGTGTGTGTGTGGTAGTCGAAGTCCTTATTTATAACAGATAATCATAATGACAACCCCTTAAATGCTCAAGTAAATATTAATTTTAAACTTGAGTAAAATACTCGAAAATTATTCAACACACTTGATATTATAGTACTTAAAAATCGATTTTAAATTAGGATCATTAATTAAACTGACAAAGCTGAATATTAATAAATTTATATTAAATTAAATTCGTTTTTACGAATATTAATTGTCGCATCACAATCATGCTTAAATAATCTTTGGAATAATCGTGAACTTACAACACGTTTGAAGAGAAAGAAACGATTCGATTCAAGCGGTCAGATAATTAAATATAAAAATCAGAATTCGAGTGCGAAATCGTTCGTTTCATTTCTCTGCAATGGCTCGTTATATTACATCGTATGTCAATTTGTCGTTGCAGGATGGATGTATCACGTGGTTGATTGTACAGTGCTTGGTATAACGAGACAGCAGAAGCAAGCAATCGCCATCCACTGTCTGCAAAAGTCTATCGAGGCGGAACCGAAGAGCGGGCAAAGCCTCTACCTGCTGGGACGTTGCCTCGCCGCCTCTGGAAAAGTTCATGATGCATTTATTGCTTACAGGTAATCTGCAAGGTGCTTGAAATCTCTGAGCAGAGAGAGAGAGAGAGAGAGCGTTTAATCTCGAAATTATTGCGCCGATATATCAGCCAGGCCTCTTAAGCCTCTTAGCTTCTTAAGGCAAGATTGACTAATTCCCGCCAGTTTGGTAGCTTCATTCTTCTTCAAACGTTCAACTTAGTATTAAGTTTAACGCAAGAAAAAAAAAAAAAGAGAGAGAGAGAAAAGAAAACGCAGGAAATTCTTCGAAAAAAAAACTTCTCTATGCTTGGAACTTCATGCGAAAAGTTAAATTTAACACACTCGTGTAATTTTACGTACAATAGGATTATAAGAGATACTGAAAACGAAAACTTAATCATGCCAAGATCATTCCTCCTTTTTTTTTTTTTTTGATATTAAAATTATCATTCTACTGAAATTATCAAATA